TGTTGGGCGCCGCCGCCCAGGCCCTTCGCGGGAAGGGTGTGCCGCCTCCCCATGCGTCCCGGCCTGGCTTTTTGCGTTCTCGCTTTGCCTTTCGGTGACCTCTTCTGGGAGGTTCTGCTTTACGCTTGCTTTCGGTTTCTGAACACGTAGTTCATTTTCAGATGTTTAATTTTTCTTTTGTTCTCCGTAGAGTCTTTAAATTGGCCTAGCTGTGGCTACTAGAGTGTCCACCTCCAAGGTGTAAGTAGGGAGAGAGTTAAAGCAAGGGTAATGAGAATTTTTTTTTTTAAGCTTTAGTAGCAGTGTAATTCTGAAGGTCAGTTTGTGGCCAATGTATTTGAACAAAGTATTTTTTGAATAATATCCGTTTTTCTGTTGCTATTTACACTACTGGAATACAATTTCAGTGTAGCTATTGCCATTTTTTTTTTGATTGCATGAGTACTTAGGTTTTTTTATTATAGCCTGATTTTATCTCTATCCTTATCTTCAATATCCTGAGATCTTAAAATTGTTAGAAATCTTTATAGAAGCCCTTGTTTAATTTTAGGGTGTGAGAGAGTTTTGAAGTTACCCCGAAGGAAAACTGTGATGTAATAATTCTGATAACCTTAATACATTTTTCTGTTCTTGGGATGATTTTCTTTTTATGGAAGAAGAAAGCATTTTTTTCTGACTTCTGGCAGATTAATTAAACTTTTTTGGGGGGGCTGATATGCAACAAAGATCAGGGTGGAGGTCCCACTTAATTCAGTAGATTCTATGTTTTTGAAATGAGGTATAAGATTACTGGATAGTTGCTTTCGTAACAGACCTTTTGTTGAATGTTACTTACATTTTAGTCACTTCTAACTACTAGTTTTTAACTGAAGGGCAGTTCAAAATAAGGTTGGAGAAAATTATTTCCCATTATAAGAATTTGCGAACCTAGCTAACTTACCAACATTGGAGGACACAGGAATGAATTTTTTTTTTGCCCTGTTTTCATTTAATGAGCATTCTGATGATGGCACTGGCTTACCAGGTATTTAGTATACCCAAAACTAACTCTTGGTTTCCCCTTTTGTCTTCGTCCATCCCTGTTAGCATAGGATTAGAACAGCAGTGTGACAGTTGTACTCTGGACCAAACTTTTTATCGCAAAACTTGTGTCGGTAGGCTGGAATGTCTGACAAATACTCATTGATTTCCTTGCAATGGGAAGGATGCTTGACTAGGCCAAATAACATGGCAACATCCTTTTTTCTGTAGTAATCCTTTGAATTTAGATGCAAATACCAGTTTGTTAACTTTTCAGGACATTACTGCTCAGCATAAATCTCTTGTCTGTAATGGTTGTCTAGTCAGATTGCAAACATTGAGAACAAGAGTGAAAAGCTTGTTTATTTATACTGTAAAAGCATGTCTGTGCTAAAGGCTAGTATAAAACTTTAAAACGAGAAATAATTGTTCTTCTGAAGATGCTAGTTAAAAGTGAGACCTATTCATTAAAGGAAAAATACATAGCTAAACCTCCTTTAAATTATTTTAAACTGCTAATGAATTGTACAGTTGCTGTACAGCAGAAATCTAGAGGGGAAAGAGCAGTGTTCCCATACTTGTAATGTGGTCTACCAACTTGTTGAATAAATAATAGGAACCATTTAATGTCTTGTCACTGGGATTAGTATCTGTTCTGCTATAGAATTTTTTTTTCTCAAGACTTACCGTAGTTATTATGGGCTTGAACTTGGGCTAAACCTTTTTAAGCTTCAAATGCTCTGTCATTTTCATGTCTCTCTTTTTTAAGAGACAGTTTAACTCTGTGGAAGAACAGGCTTGTTTTATGTTCTTGAGCAAGCGATGGATGTCTTGTTATAGTGACATGGTTGTAGAGTTTAGAAGTCCTTACTAAAGAAGGTTGGGTTTTTTTTTTAATTAAACTATGAATGTAAATGTTTTTAGAGGAGGTTGAAGTTATCCTCTTATGGCTTAGGGAGGTGGAGTAAGGTACTCTGGAAAATGGCATTAGAAATTGTTTCCTACCTTTCTACAATCTTGTGCCCTACCATTGTTTGCTAACATAGTAGCAGTTCATACAATTAGGCTGTATGTGGCAGGTGTAATTAGTTTGTTTGGTTTTTTAAAATGTGTATGTTATTCTGAAACAACAATCTGTTTAGTGGAATGGTGCCCTAAAGAAAGTGTGTGGTTTTTTTTTTTTTCTGAATCAGATGTTGCAGGAGAGTTTTCACTTTATGTAGATAAGGCCATGACAAGATGGAAAGACACTTTTTTTGGGGGGGGAGCTTCCCTTGATCCTGTATTATTGAATACAGTTATGATCTTGTGGAGATCTGCAGAAGATAAGCAATTCTGTAGCCAGGTGTTGAAAATGTAAATATTGGTTAAAAGTACTATATAAAAATGAAAGTAATCTTTTCTGCTTTCAGTTGAAAGTTAACATGTGAGCGTACTACCCTTGTTATTTTTGAGGTTCTGAAGATATTTTTCCACTTACTTTAACAAGAAAAAACCCAGCAAAAAAAAAAGTGCAAGAGCAAGATAAACAGTCAATTATGTAGTTTTAACTTTCTTTGCAAAACAAATGTTACCAATCAGTTTGAAAAGATAAGATTTTTGTTTGATTGTGTTTAGCCTTTTTATGGCACTTATCTAGTTAGTTTCATTGTTTCCCCTGCCCCCTGTCATAGCATGGAGGGAGTTATTAACTCTTTGAAATATGCTCTGTTTTCTGTATTTTAAAACTTTAAAATACAGTGCCTCTGTAACAATGGCCTTTTGCTGTTGAAACCATGGGAAAACAGCCACCGAAGGAAGGTACAGATGAAGTGTATCTTTGCAGGGAGGAGAATGATACAGGCCTGTGTGAGACCTTAGACTGGTATCTACCCATTGAGCCTGGCAGGCTGGGTCATAGCTAGTCTTGAATGACAGGTTCTTTAACTCTGAGATTGCCGGAGGCTCCCTGTCTGAGAAAGGGACTTTTAAAGAGAGCTTTTCTCACTGACCCAGCATTCCTACTACTTGTTTCTTTTAAACTAACAAGACAACCCCCCAAACTTAAACTCTGGTATGTTATAAGGGGGGAAAAAACTTCAGATTGATTGCTAGTAAATGGCATTAGACGTTCCTTTTTAATCTGTATGTCTACCATTTAAAATATGAGGCAAGTGATTTTGCAGCACAGATATGCACTCTTTTTACATTTTGGAAATAAAAACCTTCCAGGTCCTTTCTGGTAATTTTCATAAGCATCTGTCAAATTTGACTCTGTGGAACTTCAGGAAATAACTGCCTGCATTATAGTTTTTCAGATTTTTCAGCTCCTGGTTTTTGGTGGTAACTGCCAACTCTGGAAGTGTGAGCTATTAGTTGATTTCTGGTAATTAAAGATGTATGGAGAAATCTACTTGAAAAATTCAGAACTGGGTGGTCTTGTAATACCGCTTCTCTGCAAGCAGATTACCAAAGCCAAGAAAACATTAAGTTTTCACAGTGACCATCACTGAAGATCGGTAGGTGTTTCACAGAATACTGTGATTGTTTGAGCCATCTGTCTATTGACTGCCTCATATATGAATCTGTCTTAAAAGAGTATTTTTTAAAGAGTTGTGGTAGCATTTTTTGTGTGTGTACAATGATAAAAGGTTCGCTATTAATGAGCCCGTTACCTTTCAGCTCCAATGGCGATTCCTCCATCGTATGTAGACCTTGGCAAATCTGCCAGAGATATCTTCAATAAAGGATATGGTAAGAATAGTACCTTTTATGAAACATAGTGTTTGTGGTACAGCAATGAATTGCCCTTTTAAGCCTGTATCTAAAATTGAATGCTCAAATGCCTGTGTTCCTGGGGAGGGGGAAGGTGTGTTGTTTTTATATGATTACCATCAACTAACAGATCGTTGGAGGCTTTTTGTGGGCTGTTTTGATGTGAAGTCTGTGAAATCTTACTGCTTTAGCCACAGAAATGTCAGAGGTGTACAGGTATGAAAGAATGTAAGCATCAAGTGTGATTTAGCTTAGGAGTACACTTTGTTTACCAATCTGTCTGTGCCACAACATTTCTTGATATCGAAAGGGATATATACCACTGTAACATTATAGCCTTCTTTGGAATAGAAAGAAGAATAGCTATTGGGATAAAGAATCCTTCAACATTTTTAAATACTAGGCAGTTGCATAATTTAATTCTTCTTCGTTACAGTGCTATTTCTTTCTGGTCTTTGGGAGTGCATGAGGGGGCTTTTTTCACCAAGACGGTTGCTCAGCTCTAAGAGTAACAATGTGAATTGACACTCCCATAAAACCTACTTATATTACAGTTCCAATGGCTGTGTATTTCCCAGTGGCTTCACTTTTACAGTTTTTTACTTTGAGATATTTCTTCTTGGTGCTGAGAGATGGATTTTATGCGTTGGGATGGCTCTTCAAATGACATTGACTACAAAGCTAATGCCATCCCGGGAACAGAGAAGAATGCATTTTGTCTATCACTAAATTTACTTTTGGAAGTCATTGTTTGGGAGTTAAATGTACAGTGTACAACTGAGAGGCTACTCCTCACTTTCTGTGTTGATGATAAAACAGAACTCCTGGCTTGTTCTAGAGTAGCCTCCTTTACCTCCTGTGGCATCTAAAATTTGAGTGTTACTGAAGTCAAACTGTGATTGTTCTTATATATGTATATACATGGCACACTGCTGAGACTGATTGGAAAACCAACTTGGAAAATGTGCGTAGTTCAAGCCTACTGGTGTAACTTTGACTCTTGTTTGTTAAGGTTTTGGGTTGGTGAAACTGGATGTGAAAACAAAATCTGCAAGTGGAGTGGTGAGTTTCAATACCTTTTATTCATTATGTTTTTTTCTGGGTATGTTCTGATATTTAATTAGAAAGGAGGCCTTCCAGATGCTGTTAAGTAGTTTATAGTTTATATGAATTATACACTTTTGGTGTAAAATAATTTCAGAAGACCCTAAAGATCTGACTTTATTCTGAATTTAACAGGGGTATTGCACTGTTTAGTAATCTTTGTAAAATAAAAAGGTTTATTAGTTGTCCCTCATCTTATGTCTGAAGGTGAACAAATAGCTGACACATTTTTGGAAGTATTTTAATATATCAATCATAGTACACAGAATTTATTTCTGAAGTACCCTGTGACACTATTGGCATTTGGTGGAAATTTCTGGCATCTTGATGCTTGTGTGAAGTAGCTGACAGTGAATTACCACGTTGAGTCTTTGGTTTCTCTTTAATGGTATTAAAGTGTTGCAGTAATGTTCCACGCAAGCAGCGCCTCCTATAACTTCAGTCTTTTTCTAGAACAGACTTTGCAAGATATAAAGGTAGATTTTTTTTTTTTGCATAACCAGAAGCTTTAACTGGCTGTTAGAAATAAGGTGTGTGGGTTGTACGCTGTGTTTTTTCTAGAAGTCTGTATCCCAACTGAAGCACAGTTTGGAAGAGCCCTATTACAGATGTAATTGTTCTTATTTTAGCTTGTGTCTTTTCAAGTACTACCAGTAATACTGGTAAAACTGAAAAATCCAAGCTCTCATGTGAATCCCATATCAGTTATAAGCCATCCTTCCCAGGAGGAGAAAGTGTTGGCATGTAGGTACTGCAGGTGTTTTAAAGCAGAGAGAAGAGATAATGTAATAATTTGCTGCTCCTGAAGCTGTTAGTGCAATACTTGCAGTCAGATATGCCCTGTGCAGTAGGAATAGCACAAAGCAAGAAGTTAAAGCTGAAGGAATTTGGACTTGAGGTTGTGTAGTCCCTGTCACTTGCAAGAAATAAACCTTACTAGAATTACACAACTGTGTGGATGGTTTAGTGGTTCACTAACATAATACAAATAAATGTCTTGGCCATGGTTAAACTTAATCAGCCACCATTAAAGAATAGCTTTATGCGTGCTTGTGATGTGCTGTACGTCTTGGGCTGTGAGAGTACAAATACTGAAGGACTTGTGATTTCAAATCCATGTTTCCTTCTGAGGGAGGTGAGCGTGAGGAGTTGATTTGAAAATAATACTGCGCATGGAGGAAGTCAGAGATCAAAAGTTTGATTTATATATTTTAAAAAGTAGAAATAATAAACTTTTTAAATCATAAGGGCAATAATATTTCAGTGGAAAGAGCTCCTTAACATATATTTGCAAACCGGATGTCCAGTTCTGCTAGGATTTGCGTTTAGTTTCTGAATAGTGATACACAGAAATTATTCGTTGTGTTCTTTGTGAGAATCCAAATAGTGAGAGACATCAGGGACTACTTAGTTTAATAAGGAGATGTGCGTAATGTTGCTAACTTTTAAATACTTTCAAGAATTCGAAGTAAGACTGTACTAGAAGCATAAAATCAGACTGTTCCCTTGGCTCACAATTCAAATCTGAACGTTCTTCCTGTGTGTCATTAAACCAAAGTGTCAGGGGAATAGGAGTTTTATAGATGTCAGTAAAAACATCTGTGCCTATGGCTCGTGTGAAAGGCTGGTGCATTGGTTAGACTGAGAACTCTCTTAAAAAGCAACAAAAAACCCAAACCACTGCCCACCCACAATTTGACAAATGATGGCATTCTATGACAGTTTACAGTTGTACATAATTTATTTTTGGAGGTGGTTGACTGGAATAATGAAAATACATATGTGATCCTTAAAGAATTTTACTGGAGTGGCATTATGTACCTTATAGTGTTCTTGGCTTTTGGTTTGATTTTTAATTTGCTCATTAGGAGTATGAGACTTAACTTTATATTTCAAGAACTTACTTCTGCTTCTAAGGAGAATGCTTATGGTAACTACTGTCTTGCATCTGAGTTATGTTGCAATCTGTACATTTTGTAATAGCGGCAGAAACACTGCAGTTGAGATGGGGAGTGGGGGGAGACCTCCATGTGGGCCTGAATCATCTAGTTCTTCTCCATGTCATTCCCCTTCTCCCCTCCCACAAGTCGTCTACTGTTGTTAAACTTCTTGCATAGAATAACAAGATCTTAGTGTTTGCTGAAGAAAAGTCTTTTCTCTTTTGGCACTGTGTAATGCTTTCAGGATCACATATATCTTCTGTATAACATGGACACTGTCCTTTTTAGGAATTCACAACATCTGGTTCATCAAACACAGACACTGGAAAAGTGAATGGGAGCTTGGAGACCAAATACAAATGGGCTGAGTATGGGCTGACTTTCACAGAAAAATGGAACACAGATAACACTCTGGGAACAGAAATTGCAATTGAAGATCAGGTAATAAATTAGGAGAGTATGTATTTGTTTTACCTAACTAGCAGAACTGAATTTACAGCTTTATCTTATCTTCCACCCCTTCAATTAGATTGCCAAAGGCTTGAAGTTGACATTTGATACAACTTTCTCACCAAATACAGGGTAAGCATTGGTAACCATTTTATCTTATTTGGGGCAGTAACAACACCCACAGTCAGTAAACATTCATCTGGTCTGTTGTATTGACAGAGATGTTTGTGTGGTTTGCTGTTGATCCAAATTGGCAAATCCCAATGCTAAAGGCTTCTGCTCTTTAGCATCATATTATTCTACGGGGTTAGTATTGGACATTTCACAACAGCCCACTTTGCTTATTTTCTGGGATAGATGTACTTGGGAGATTGCAGGAGGCATGAAAATGCCTCTACATTCATCACAAAGTGCCTGTTTGCGCTAGCCCTGTGCTTTCTTAATGGGCTAGCTGTGCTTTGGCCCAGCCTAGAGAGTGCATGTGCATGGCATTTAGATATATTGTGGAGAGTCATGTGGCTTAAATGTGGCAGTTCATTGAGGAAGATCAAGCCTTGTCTTAAGATAACTGTTTCTCTGTTTCAGAAAGAAAAGTGGTAAAATTAAGTCAGCTTATAAACGTGAATGCCTAAATCTAGGTTGTGATGTTGACTTTGATTTTGCTGGACCTGCAATCCATGGTTCAGCTGTCTTTGGTTATGAAGGCTGGCTTGCTGGTTATCAGATGACTTTTGATAGTGCCAAATCAAAATTGACAAGAAATAACTTCTCTGTGGGTTACAAGACTGGAGACTTCCAACTGCACACTAATGTGTAAGTACTGAAAATTGGGTTCAGATTTACAGAAGAAAGCTTTCTCTATCTTTCCTTCTAGTCAGAATACAAATGCTTGAAATACGAAGTAAAAAACTCTAAATAAATGATAAATGTTACTTTGTGTCTCTCTTTCAAAACAATAAATACCCATGGCTTGTTAGCATTTACAGGATAATACATGCTACAGCTTACCAAATACTGAAGTATATCCACATTAGAAGTGCAGTAGATCAGTTACGCAGAGCTGATCATAATGCTTTTTTCTAGCTTTCCCATTACATTGAATTGTATCTGACTATAATGTCAATAGATTTATTAGAGGTAGTAATTAGCGTTGTACTGTTTAAGTAGTTCAGTAATAGTTTCTGGAGCAAGACTAGGGCTTTGCTTTTGGACTTACTGAGTAGATTCATCTTCTTGCCTGTCTGGGATGAAGACTGCATGAAACACAGTGTAACTAAACAAGTGTAAGACATCTTGTTTATGAACTTACTTCCTACTTGCTGCCTTTAGATCTTAACTGTTCTTCAGAGCAAGCTGATCAAAACCTGCTGAAGAACATGGTGTTTTCAGTCTAAGTTCATAAAAACTGGCATTGTTCTAGTGTGTTTAGTTAGGAGATAAACTTACTTGATTTTTCAGGTAGAAGTTTGTCCTTTTGGAGGGGGAGGATGGGGATTGTGTCTGTCTGGGTTTATGGAAGTTGAGGGGTATGGGAGGAAGCTACAAAACACTTAATAGTCTGGGCTGTAAGAATTCCATTTCAGTTTACTAATGTCAAACATTGTGACATTTTTAAAGAGGTCATTAATTCTTTAGGAATATCATATGTATTCAGTAATCATAGAATGCAGAATGCTTTTTCCCTAACTATTAACATATATCTGTTAGTTTTGTAAGGATGTAATCTGGAATTACTTTCAAGTACTTAGTTCAACATTAGTGTGAGAATTAGCTTGTAGCATACCTTTTGGCCTCGCCCCACCTCCACGAATTATTACAGTTTAATTTTGCCCTGAAGCCTTTGTCCATCTCCCCTTCTCCTGTCAAAAAACATGAAACAATTCAAACTTCCGGAATTCTCATTTGAATAAAATTTTGAAGTAGTTTAAAAAAAAAAGTTGGGATTATGTAAATACAGGAAACTCAGGAAACTTTTTTTCTTAATTTGTGCAGCAATGATGGTTCAGAATTTGGTGGGTCAATTTACCAGAAAGTGAGTGACAATCTTGAAACTGCTGTAAACCTGGCTTGGACAGCAGGTAGCAACAGCACTCGCTTCGGTATTGCGGCTAAGTACAAGTTGGATTCCACTGCTTCTATCTCTGTAAGTATGACTCTAACCAAGAGGGTTATGCTAAGCACAGTGTGTTTTCAGTTTCTGCGAATCTGTGTGGTGTTAGTACAAAAGAAGGTGTAATAGGTCAGGAAGTCCTGTAGGAATTACTCTTATGATCCAGGCGGTTATAATTAAACCAGCAGTATTTAAATTCTGTAATGTTGCATAACAGCAAAGTCTCTTGTAGAATCTGACTGTCAGAAGTTGTGCTACTCTAGAGGACTTAATGTATTAAAAAAAGAGATTTTTTTTTTTTTTAAAACCTCCCTTCATGTCTATTTCTGTAAGTTTACAGAATTTTTTTAAAACCAGTTTTTGGAGACCTCTGTCACGTTCTCATCGTAAGAACTCTGGTGATACTGGTTAAAAAGACGATACGCAGAAAAGTTCTCTGTATCTTATGAAGTTAGAATTGAACCTGGATCGTTGAAATCATCCTGTAGAGGAAGTGATGCAAAATGAGATAAATGACTTTGCACATACTGTTTATGATGATGTTATGAAATGTTTGCCGCTTGACTGATGCGACCTGCAAGATACTAATTCTTTTCTAATAATGTGAACAAGGAGGATTCTTCTCAAGTGGCTTGTTTTGGGAAACTGTGGTGGTAAATTGGTATGGCCTTCTGAAAAGGAGGGAGTGGGGAAGTTCACCTGCCAAACTACATTCCAGTAACAGTTCGCCCTGCCCTTGTGTTCTGTCTGCTCTTAAATGTGTTACTACTTCAGCTCTAAGTTTTGGGGCAAGGGCATAGCTGGGAAGAGAGAATCCAGAAAGCACAGAGATATTGAAAGAACAAGTAAAATTTGGTTAGGTTGGTAATGAGATAATGGCAGTGTTGCCATAGTTATTCTAGCTTCTGAATAACAAAGAACTTACCAGTTACAACAATTCAATTGCTTTTGTCTTGGGTTTTTTTCAGGCAAAAGTGAACAATTCTAGTCTAGTTGGAGTGGGTTACACCCAGACCCTGAGGCCAGGTAAGGGTTATCACATGCTTTGTCACATACTTATATTTTATGCATTGCAAAGAAAATCTTTGAGATCTGTGCATTTATATACAACTATTTCCCTTCTTCAGAATAATTTTGTCTTGACGGCAAAGTAGATATTTTACAGTAGTTTACATTGCACGTCAAATGTTTACCTAAAAAGACAAATTCCATTGTATCCGATGGTATTTCTGCATCATATTCCTCATTGATTGTGTAGGAGAACTGTATTGTGATTGATACCTTAGCTTTAGGCTCTGCAAAGCAGTCTCTTTTTTTTAGCATTGCTTTACCCAGTCATATCCTATTGGATGATAGCAGGTCTTGAAATAATGATTAATTATCAAAAGAACACACTTCCTGCTCTTCATATTTAGTAAAAAAAAAAACCCCAGAACCTAACTTGTTCTGCTTACTATGAAAACAGCAGTTAATGCTATATTACTGTCAGTTAGTTCCTTATTTGACAACCAATAAAAATTCTAGTTTCATTTCATCCCTTCCTTGGTACAAGGGTCTGTCCATGCATAATTTTCTTCCTCCTTTGCACACCTTAATTTAAAAAAGGAGACCTCTTGTGTACTTAGCAATTAGAGACTTTGTATATACGCTTTGTAACTCAGGATTTACAAAAAGCATCTAGCTTGATTCACATGACTAGCTTTCAGTAGATTTTGTGGGTAAATGGATTCTTCTATAGAAAAGTATAGAGGAAACTATGAAATAGGAAAAGAAATACAACTGGGACTTGTAATGATGGAGGTTGAGTTGCATGAAAGCTACTCTGATTGTATGTTGTAAACATGCTATTTAAAAATCTTACAGGTGTGAAGCTTACACTGTCTGCCCTGATAGATGGAAAGAGCATCAATGCTGGTGGCCATAAACTTGGTCTTGGCCTGGAATTGGAGGCTTAAAAAGGCGAAGAAACTGCTGCAGAGAAGGGATATCAGAAGAATTTGGCCTTAAATGTATTTCCAATGTGACCAGCAGGCTTTTTTTTCCAAGAAGGATGACCTAGAACAAGAGCTGTATTTGAAGTATTTAGACAGTTACTTGTTAGCTGGTTTCTAGTTAAATTGGTTACCCATCTAGTTAAAATTCTGCATTAGTGCAGTCACTTAAACATTATTTAAATGTATTTAACTGTTTAATGCGCTACCCACAAATAATGAAATAGACATTTATGAAAACTGTACAATTGTGTGCATGTTTGTTTTTATGTTCCTTTTAACATTCGATATCGCCATTGAATGAAAAATGGATCAGTGAATGTTTTGAAATGAGGTCAACAATTTTGTTAAATCACCTGAAGTAGAAATACGTTTGGTATCCCAAGACAAATTATGAATAAAACAAGTACACACACATACTTGTGCCTCAGATATTTTAAAAGTTAAGATATGAGGGTAGTGCTCAGTTAAGTTCTAACTTTTAACTTCAAATAATCCAAGAAGTAGTGCTCTCTACCTTTGTTCAATTAAGGACTCCCACCTCACCCACGACAACACTGAATATAGATGGTTTTCACTGAACAGTTGGATTCCTCAAGCAAGTTGAATGTGCTTTTCTGTCAGGTAAGATCTGTCATGACACAATGGTTTAATTCCCCCTGTGTTCCACGGGCAAGATTAGCTGTGTTACTAGTTGGCCTCCTGGTGCAAAGAGTGCAGTGATGTACTTCGCACACTGAGACATTTAAGAACTGTTCCTTGATGCTTTTACCCAGGGAGTGAAAAACCCGACCACAAACACACCCTTTGCTCATGTTTGTATGAAGTGAGACATATCTCTGCAACTGAATGTAACAGTGTAATGGTGTAACAGCCTGCTTATCCCAACTGCTGTGAGAGGTTTCTGCTTAAAATGACTGAAATAAAGGCTTAATTTTAAATGGAGATGGAGGAAAATGCATCTGACTGCTTTCTGTTGGACTAATAAATCCTGGCAGATAATCCATTTTAAGTCCAGAAACATACAGAATAATGGAAAACCACTATGTTTTTCCAGGATAGAGTTAAGAGAGAATAGAAGGGGTATTTGGTCTGTGAACATAACATCCCTTAACGGATTAGACTTAACCCCCATAAAGGTCCTAGTGATTTGCTTGAGGTCTTGTTCTACCCTGCATTGTTGCCCTCATACTCAAAATTCTTAAGTACTGTGTTGTAAACTGCCTGTGTTTTTGGCTTTTGCTGGTGAATAGCTGAGCTACCTTCTTTGCAGAAGATAGAGCAGAGCTTAAGCTTCCAGCTCAGGCTCTTGAGCAGGCTTCCTAGTGTATTTAGCTAGTTTTCTTACAAGGCAAAGAGAAGGTTTGGCAGCATTTGTGCTTTGGAGTACCTTCACTTCTGTTACCACTAAATGCTCTTTTCTGAGGAGAGCTTCCACCACTTGGTGATGGAAGAAGCATGTAAGGTGCAATTTGTTGCTCTCTTACTGCATGTTAAACGTTTGTAAACTGTATTTTTAGTTTGAAGTGTTTTTATGTACTAGACCACTTAAAGCTAGAGACTGTGCAGCCAGACATTAGAATTCTAATATGGGTTCTCTTCTTCGTATAATTATCTTTGGTGCCTCACAGTGTGTCCAGGCCTCTTCTGGAAAAAAAATAATTATGTGTGCTGTATGCATTGTCCAGCTGTAGCACCTGGGCAAATAAAGGACTCAGTCTTCTGGTTATGAACGATGCCTTGTTTGCATCCTTAAACCAGCATGGCTGCAATACTGATGTTTCTCAGGTTTTGGAAGCTTTTGATAGGGCTGTAGTGGTCTGACACTTTTTTTGTGGTGGTGGTGTGGTTTGGTCAGGATGAGGTTTTTGTTCTTTAGAAACAATGACTCTAACCCTTTTTTTCCACTACCTGTTCACCTCTAGATGTTTTTTCCTGAGGTGACAAAATGGGCAAGTGAAATAAAAGCAGGTATTGCAGGGTTTCTCTTCAGCTGTTTGTACAAATTAGTAATGGAGAGCTTGAACCTCTTCATTTTATGCTGTTTTCATGTGCATTGCCTTATTAGTCCTCAGCCTTTAAACCTTAAGTAGTTTCATTTGTTATAATGCTGATAGGCAGATGGAGAAACAAAAGGGCTCTGCAGTAGTTAAGACATCTGTGAAAACATGAGTTTTCCTAAAATATTCTGTCATAAATCACTACTTCGAGCATGAAAAGGAAGTTCAGTGTCTATCTCTTGACATATCTCAAGTGAGGCTTATAAAGGCTTTCAAACTTTCTTTTCAAGTGTGTTACAGAAGCTGGTGGTGTAATTGGAGTTTTGTGGTAAGGAATGTCGGTAGTCTAAATAGCTCTCTTTTGTTAAAACATGTGAAAAGCCTTGATGATAAATTTCACTGCTAGCCAGCCTCTCCTCAGGTGTCATTCTGAGTAAAATAGAAACGTTTGAGATAACCAGTGACCTGAGCATGGCAGTGCATCTTGTGTGAACTGTAGCA